TGAACAATATTAGGACCAAAGAAAATTATACAGAGGTAGCCAACCAGTGAGTTCGCAAAAACCAATGAACCCGGGACATCAGGAGGTCACTTCCTTTGGCCCTCAGGGTCCATGGCTTGCTATCCTGAGAAGGGCCCCAGGGTTGGATTTTCGTCCATGTTGTCACAGGGCCACAACTTCTCAGTACTTGCATATGTCCCCAACACTAAGTGGTGCAGTAGGTTAAGCATTTGGGCCGCTAACCCCAAGGATGGTAGTTCAAACCTACCAGCTGCTCCTCAAGAGACAGATAAGAAAGTCAGCTCCTGTACAGATTTACAGTGTTGAAAAACCAAAGGAGACGCTCTGCTGTGTCCTATAGGGTTTCTAGGAGTTGGAATGGACTCAAAGCAGGGGAGAGTGGGGAGTTTTCAGAAGGCAGCAAAATAACATGCTGGACTGCAAAGTCAGTTTGAACCTCAAAGTCATTGGTTCAAGCTCACCAGCCGCTTCTCAGAAACCCTATACAGGGTCGCTATGGGTTGGAATCAATTCAATAGCACATAAGGACAACAAGAACACTTTAAAAACATAATGTCTCAAACTTGACAATGTTATTTTGAACTTTATCTTCATCTTTTAGAGTTTACTAAATCCAACTAGTATAAAAAACCCTAGCCCATATATTCATGTATCTTTATTAAAGTAAAAATAGAGCAATTGCCTTGTAACACCTCATGACGGTATGGGCTATACGTATTGGTCTAGTATCCAGAATTAGATTAATACCTTCTTAAACTCAGAGACTCTGTTTTAAAGATCTTTATAGGTAGTGTAGTGGTAATGAGTCAGCCTGCTAACCTCAAGGTCAACAGTTCAGAACTATCAGCCTTTCCTCAGGAGAAAGATAAGGCTTTCTGTTTCCATAAAGATTTACAACCTTTGAAACCCTATGCAGCTATGAGTCATAACTGATTCCAAGGAACAACACCATTGCCACCACCATGTGCCCTTAGGGGAGCACTGTGATTCTGTAGCGAAAGCACTGGACTGGTGGGTGGTGCAAGCCCATCAGCCGCTTCACAGGATAAAGATGAGGATATTTGCTCCTGCAAAGATTTAAAAGCCTCAGAAACCCTGTACAAAGTCACTGTGAGTCAGAATGGACTCCAAGGCACTTAACAACAACACTATAACCCTAGATTAAAACAGAACCTTGTTGTATACTAGATTCTCAAAGAATAATCTGTTGAATGATTTAATACTGGTTTTAAGACTCATCTGCATCTAGGCAGAATCTGATTCAGATTCAGAAAATGTTTTCTGATCCCTCAATAAATGCTTGTTGTTGGTGGTAAGTGTCATTGAGTTGGTTCCAACTCATAGTGACCCTGTATAGGGTTTCCAAGGTGCAGCTGGTGAGCTTGAACTGCCTATCTGTGGTTCAAACTGAACTTAAAGTCAGTGCTTTAACCCACAGCACAAAACCAGGACTCCATATGATAACCACTGGGCTGCAAACTGCAAGGTCTGTGGTTCAAGTCCACCAGCTGCTCCACAGAAGAAAGATGAGGCTTTCTGCTCCCGCATAGATTTTAAAAAGCCTTGAAAACCCTATACCGGGTTGGAACCAAGTCGAAAGCACTTAACAACAACAGGTGATAACTTGGAGTCCTGGTGTGATACTGTAGCATAAGCATTGGACTGCTAACTGCAAAGTTGGCAGTTCAAAACTCCCAGCCACTCCTTAGAGACCTGTTCAGGGCTGCTATGAGTCAAAACTGACTCGATGGCACTTAACATCAACAGGTGATAAGTTAGGCATTGGGCTGCTAATCACAAGGTTGGTGGTTCAAATTCACCAGCTGCTCTGAGGCTGTTTGCTCCCATACAGATTTTCAGTCTTTAAACCCTGTACAGGGTCACTATGAGTTGGAATTGCTGAGTTAGTATCAACTTGATGGCAGTAAGTTTGTCTTTTTTATTTGTTTTAGGTAATAAATATTGTACTTGGTGTTATACATGCAACCTTTTCAGTATTCCTGTTCTGTCCAGCCTGCTAGTGAAGTACAGAACATGTAAGGGCCTGACTGAGAAACAGTCCTAAATCTGCTTTAGGACCAAACATGATCATCTGACATGACTAGTGCCTCCCTGGATGCTGAGCAGGAGAGCGTAAGCTTGACCACGTGTGAATCTTTCTGCCTGTCTCCCAGGTATTCGCCGGCAGACCATCCATTGCATAAAGAAGGGCCGCGGAGTGGTGAAAGCTACATTCTGTGACCCAGAAACCCAGCCCAGTGGGAGGCAAAAGAAATGTCATGAAAAGGACTGTCCACCCAGGTAAACACTGATAATAACTGGAATGTTGTGTGTCTGTCTAGAATTATGTCTAATTCAATAATAATCTCATATCCAATGATAAAGGGAACTGTGTGGCCTTGTAATTAAAGTAAGTACAGGAAAGCAGTTAGAGATTAGGAGAATCCACCACAATCTGTGGATGGGGACACTGTCTGCTTTTTTAGGAAGCTAGTAGGTCTGTGTGTAATTATTGGATAGCACTAAATCCCAAGGCACTGTAGAAGGAACACCCGACAGCTCATTGGATTTGCCTTTCCCAGGGCTCTTTGTCAGTGCATCAGTATCTTCAGAGAGCACTTTGGATTTTATTGCCATTACATCATGGTGCTTCTTACTTGGAGGGACCTAGACTGTGTGTTATCATGTGTTTAGCAGCATCTCTGGCCTGTATCTACTAAGTGCCAGTCCTGGTGTGGCACTGTAGGATAAGCACTGGACCGCAAAGTAGATTTGAACTGCAAGGTGGTGGTTCAAATCCACCAGCCACTCCTTGGAAACCCTATACAGGGTCACTATGAGTCAGAACTGACTCAACAGAATTTAACAACAACAACCCGCATCCTAGATTCTGACAACCAAGAATATCTCCAAATATTGCCTAATGTCCTGGGGTAGGTGGGGAGAAATGGGAAGGAAGGTGCAAAATCATCCTCATTTGAGAACGACTGTTACAGAGATATTTATTTGATAATCATGTTTCTTTAAGCTATTGGGATCCTAGAAGACAGCTGTTACTGTATGGGGTTTATGTAACAGGAAACAAAGAAGGGAGATAGGGCCAAGACTTTATGTACTTTATCAGTCATTCATTCCACTGCTAAACAGGTATACTTTGAGGAATTTAGTTAGACAGGAAGTGACTTCTTGTTGATAAGTCCTGTCAAGTCACTTCCAACTCATAGAGACCCTGTATAGGGTTTCCAAGGAGCGGCTGGTGGATTTGAACCACTGCCCTTGTGGTTAGCAGTCCAGTGCATATTCTACAGCACCACACCAGGACCCCAGGAAGTGCCTATTTAGTTTGAATTTGAAGGAAGAGCTAGAAGAATGTGATAAATGCCAGAGAACTAGATAAAAAAGAAGAGTTTAGACAAGTAAGTCAAGAAAAGCAAAGGCAGTTTCCTACAGGTTCACATAGGCCCGTCCCAGAGACCAGGGCTATCTCATATGAGGACCATAATGTTGATTCTCCACCTAGTGTGGGGTTGCTTGGACATGTCAGTGGTCTGAAACAAAACAGGGTGGGCTGTGAGGTCCAAAGCCAAACTTTCCTTCTATTGAGACAGGTTTCTGTAATCATTGTTCCTTACTATATCTTGCTCCATAGCTATTTTGATAAAAAAAAAAAAAAAAGAGCTAGGTCACCCAGGGGAAGATTAGACCCATACTTTTATTGTTGTTAGGTGCCATTGAGTTGGTTCCAATTCACAGCCATCCTATGTACAACAGAAGAAAACACTGCCCAGTTCTGCACCATCCTACAGTCATGATGCTTGAGCCCATTGTTGCAGCCACTATGACAATCCATCTTGCTGAGGGTCTTCTTTGTTTTGATGATCCTCTACTTTAGCAAGCATTATGTCATTCCAGGTTCCTTCTGATCACATGTTCAAAGTATGTGAGACAAAGTCTAGCCATTCTCACGTCTAAGGAACATTCTACTTGTACTGCTTCCAAGATAGATTTATTTGTTCTTCTATCAGTCCATGGTACATTCAATATTATTTACCAATACCATAATTCAAATGCATCAATTCTTTTCTGGTTTTCTTTATCCAATGCCCAGCTCTCACATGCATATGAGATAACTGAAAATACTATACTTTGGGTCAGTGATCCTTAGTTCTCAAAGTTACAATTTATCCATTAACATTTTGAAAAGATCTTTTGCAGCAGATTTGTCCAGTGCTTACATCATTTGATCACTTAATTGCTGCTTCTGTGAGCATTGGTTGTGGATGCAAGTAAAATGAAATCATTGACAACTTCAATATTTTCTCTATTTATTGCGATGGTGTTTGTTGGTCCAGTTGTGAGGATTTTTGTTTTCTGTACATTGAATTGGAGTCCTGGTGTGGGGCTGTAGGTTAAGTACAAGACTGCAAGGTGGGTTTGAAGCATAAGGTCAGTGGTTCAAACTCACCAGCCACTCCTCAGAAACCCGGTCACAGTCATCATCCCAAAGCACTATACTTCAAGATGTTTCTTGATATTCATATGCCTACAAGGAAGAGCAGTTAATAACACTATTATTCAAACATAAGCACCAACCACTAAAGCCAATGGTGATGAAATTGAAGAATTTCAGACTGAATTCTCCAGTCTGAAATTGACGCTACACAGAGATGGCCTCATCAATCTAACTAATAAAGTAAACCATCTTTCCAGGACTTCAGCACATGTTTCTTGGGACACAATTCAATCCATACAGCTTCTTAAGCTGAGCACATGGATTCAGTTTATTGCTCCAGAGCAAACATTTTAAATGAATCCCTTATATAGCCCCTTTCTCATGTAATCGTTAAGGTCAGAATCCAAGTGCTGACAGCCTTCCCCAGGAGCTGGGCTGTCAGAGAGCTGTTGTGCAGCCTCATCCGGCATCACCAGGACACCCAGGACGCAGGCTGCCCTGATGAGCAGATGGACATTCCTGTGGCTGCTCTTTCTGACGTGCCATATGGCCACATTTCACGGAAGGAGTATGCCAGGCCTTGTTTTATCCCCCAGTTTCTGCTGTTGTGTTTCATAATTCTCTCCAATCCTTCCCAAAACTATGAAGACAATTATACAGAAGAAAAGTCCAGCATAAGTGATTTCACAAGCCTTTTACAAGCTTTATCATTTGGTGGCTTTTTTATTTTTATTTTATTTTTTTTTTTGGCTTTGATTTAAGCTATTCTCACCTCTGTCTGGTGTCTATTTCTTATCAGACCTTAGGAAATAGATACCAGACAGCTCTGTGACGATTCATATCTGGACCCCAGTTTGTATCATGAGAAATCAGGAAAATTAGCAAAGTTATCCTGAAGGGACCCAGTTCTGACCTCAAGGTAAAGGCACAGTGTTTGCAGAGGAATATTAGCTATCTCAACCAGTATTTTCTGAACCCCAGAAAGAAAATATCAGCCCTTGTTTGAGTTTTTATATTTAAGTTGATTTAGCTAGCTATTTCTTTTGATGACACTTGTACTTAGGGGATCACTTGATCCCAGCTGAGTAATAGACTGAATTTTTATTCCTTAAATGTATTTGTCTTCATGCTGTATCTCCTTTCCCTGAATCTATATATGCTTATGCATGCTCGTTACTTAGTGTCAAAATACAGACTTCAAACTTTTGTCAAAAGTAACAATTGGCAAAATCTTTTGTCTTAGTTCTAGTATAAACTCCATAACAGAAATAATAAGTCTCTATTCTTACCTGTTGAGACAGATAAAGCTCTGTAGCTTACTTAGAGATTTTGACTCCTGAAAAATGTTAACTAAACCTGATTAAAATAAGCTCTCCACAGCTCCCCTGTGCCCAGTGGGAAAGGTGTGACATGAAGAGTTGATCCTTTTGCCCTTCATTCATCCAGCACCTTATGCAGTGGTGGGTACACAATGAATCATTTGAGGAAATGAAAGCCTGAAGAACCATGTGGCTGCCATGAACTAACTGGACCCCAACACTGCATGGCCCACCCCAAGCAACCCCATACCCTACAGTGGGGAAATGCAAACACATGCCGTACCCTCACCAAAACATGGTGTCTTGTAGAAACTGCAGCCTTTACAGTGTACAGTGCCTTTCAGTTGATTCCAATTCATAGCGACACTGTAGGATAGAGTAGAATTGCCTCATAGGGTTTCCAGATCTGTAAACCTTGACAGAAGCACATTGATACATCCTTCTCCCCAGGAGCATTTAACCATGGTGCCACCTGGACTCCTTATGGTGTACACTACTAGTTTTCAAATATTTTGAATATCAACCATCTATATGTAGCATAATGGCTACGAATCGGGCTGCTAATCTCAGGGTCTGCAGTTTGAAATTACCAGCTGTTCCACGGGAGAAAGATGAGGCTTTCTGCTCCCATAAAAATTTACGGTCTCGGAAACCCTGTGCAGGGTCATTATGAGTAAGAACCAACTCCACGGTGCATAACAACACAACATATGTGTACACACACATGTAGATAGATACATACATGATTATATACATATATTAACTCATGTGTATATATCCTTAAAGTATTCAGAATGCGGACTCCAATTCTTTGGACATCCAAGATGTAAGGATTCTTTCAGTAAGAAGAGCTGAGATCTGTAACTCTATTCTGAAAATCAGAAGCTAGAACTCTTCCTCTGGACCAGTAATGACAGAACTAGAAGCTAGCAAGTATGTCAACCCCATTGTAAGATCACCTTCCTACAAGAAACCTCTGCTGTTATTGGTTTTGAGTGGCATTGAGTCAGCTCTGACTCTTAGTGACCCTGTATAGGGTTTCGGAGGCTGCCAGTCTTACCGGGAGCAGAATCTCATCTTTGTCCTGTGGAATGACTGTTGGGCACCAACTACTGACCATGTAGTTCACTGTCCAGTGTTTATCCTATAAAAGTCTCTGCCGGTTCCTCCAAATAAGAGTAAGATTTTCTTCCATGCCTGTGATTATCACATTGTTTTATAAATGTCCACTTCTGAAAAAGTCTCCCCTGATAGATTCTGTTTTAAGAATGAAAAATGTTTCTTATTTTCCCCAAATACATTAAAACTAGACCTGGGGGAAAACCAGCAGTCACAAACTAAGATTAGACCATTGTTGCTGTTTTTAGGTTCCATAGCATCAGTTATAACTCATAGGAAGCTATGTACAACAGAACCAAACATTACCCATCATGTGCCATCTTCACAGTTGTTGCTGTGTTTGGACCAATTGTAACCATTGTGTCAATTCATCTCACTGAGTCTCTTCTTCTTTTACCCTATCCCTCTAC